TGTACAACAGAACAAAACATTGCCTAGTCCTGTGCCAATCTCACAAACTTGGTTTGACCTTTCTGTTGTAATCATTGTGTCAATCCATCTAATTAAGGATCGTCCTCTTTTTCACTTTACTTTACCAAAATATGATGTACTTCGTCAGGTGTTGGTCCTTCCTGATAACATGTCCAAACAACACAAGATGAAATCTCATCATCCTCACTTCTAAGGAGCATTATGGTTGTACTTCTTCCAAGATATATTTGTTCATTCTTCTGGTAGTCCATTCTACTTTTAATATTTTTCATCAACATCATAATTACAAGGCAGCAGTTCTTCTTGGTCTTCCTTATGCATTGTTCAGCTTCTCATGTGCATTTAAGAAGGTTGAAAATGGCATGGTTTGGGTCAGTCACACCTTAGTACTCAAAACAATATCCTTACTTTTCAACACTTTAAAGTGGTCTTCTACCACAAATTTGCCCAATGAAATACAATATTTGATTTGTTGACTGTTAATTCCATGGGTATTGATTGTAGATCTTAGTAAAATAAAATCTTTGTCAACTTCAATATTTTCTCCATTTATCATGATGTTGATTGTTGACATAGTTGTCAAGATATTTGTTCTTTATGTTGAAGTGAAATCATTACTGAAGGCTGTAGTCTTGAATCTTCTTCAATAAGTGCTCAAGTCCTCTTCACTTCTAACAATCAAGGTTGTGTCTTCTGTGTAACACAGGTTGTTAGCAGTCTTCGTGCAGTCCAACACCAAATTCTTCTTCATGTAGTCCAGTTTCTTGGACTATTTACTCATCATGAAGAATGAATGTTGTTGTTGCTGTTGTTAGGTGTCTTTGAGTCAGTTCCAACTCGCAGAGGCCCTGTGTAGGGTTTTCAAGGCTGTAAATATTTACAGAAGGAGAAAACCTGTGTTTTCTCATGATGCATGGCTGGCAGGTTTAAACTGCCAGCCTTATATTTAGCAGCCCAGCGTTATCCTATTGGATCATCATCTTTCTACAGATTGAAAAAGTATGGTGAAAGGACACAACTTTGATGTATACTTTTTCTAATTTTAAACCATAAAGTATACCATTGTTTTATTCTAAGGACTGCCTCTTGGTCCTTGGGCAGGTTTTGCATGAACACAATTATTTTTCTGGAATTCTCATTCTCTGCAATATTACTCATAATTTGTTATGATCAACACAGTCAATAAGACACAGATAAAAATCTTTCTAGTATTCTCTGCTTTCAGCCAAGATATATCCGATATAAGCAATGATATCCTTCGTTCCATGTCCTCTTTTTTTTTTTTTTTTAATTAAATGTTTTTATTTTGCATTGAGTGAAAGTTTACAGGGCACATCATCAGTTTCACATTCAACCATTCATATAGCTTGTTTCATTACATTGATTATTATCCCCGCT